CTCAGTTGCAGGCTCGATCCTTGGACCTGGTCGGGTTGCCTGCGGGAGGCCACCATTTATGTGTCTCTCTCACATCTGTGTCTCTCTTCCTCTCCCCCTCTCTCTGAAAAGCAATGGAAAAAATATCCTTGGGTGAGGATTAAAAAATATATATATATTTTTAAAAAAGCAATGCAAAGGCATTATAAAAATATAATATAACAAAGAATATAAAACATACGTAATTCCAATACCAGGTATCTTCTGTTAATTGACAAATTAACTCTTTATGGTGGGTAGTATAATCTTCCATGTGTTGTTTTTTTTCTCCAACCATTTTCACAGGATTTGCTTGTGAACTTTTGTGTTTTACACTGATAAGAGGAAAATAAAAATATTTTTGCTGAAACAAATTCTTTCAGCATAACTCCCTTCTCTCCCCACATATATCCCCTTCTTCCTTTCCTTTCTGAAATTGCTCCCAGCCACCAGGGTATACAGCCTTTGGAAATCTTCCTTGGTTGCCCACAGTCAGGGCTTCACAGCTTCTGGCGGTGGCAGCTGCTAGCAGCAAGAGCCCTGGAGTCTCTGGCACCCACCCAGTCATCACCAGGACTGCTGCTGGCAGCAGCTCCAGTTTGCTGGCCCTTTCCTTCCCTCAGCTGCACCAGGGACCTGAGGCCACTGTTTTCAGATCCACTGGTCAGATGTGCACACAGTTCTTCATTTTCTCTCTGGATAGTCTAGCATGATTTAAATCCTACATGATCTTTTCTTGGCAATGCCCATCTTTAAATACTTTTTTTTTTTTTTTAAATCACGTTTGTCTTGCTGTAGTTTAACACTTCTCCTCTCTTCTTCCTTCCCTCTGGTTAATTGATGCTTCAGGTTTCTCTACCCCAAGCTAACTGCTTTTTAGCTTGTTCCAATTTTTCTTGAGGGTCTGCTTAGAGCAGCGCTACTGCATATGATTGTGCCTAGGACAAGCCTGGGCTGGGCTGGCGCTGCTGTGGACATTCACATTCTGTTGGGCATTCATTGCATAGCTGTATGTGGAGGCCCTGAGTCCGGACGCAAGGGAAGAAGGAGAAAGGGAGCGAGGATGTCTGTTTCTTAACCATTTATCATCCCCGTGAGAACAAGGACCTTGTCTGTGTTTTTATTTCTAGATCTTCAGCACCCAGCACAGTGTGTAGCCCAGAGCAGGCCTTCATGCCTTATATGCTGCATGAATGATTTGATACTGAACACCAGGCAGAGTGCTGGGGATACCATGAGGAATGGGAGAGACCAGACCTCTGCCCTCATGGAACATTCTTTTGGGTAGCTAGACTGTCATTATGCAAACAACAAATAGACAAGATGGTTTCAGAAAGTGCAAGTGAAGGAAAAGGGTGGTGTGGTGTGAGACGCTCGGGTGCTAAGTCGTTTGACCAGGGCGTCTAGGGATGGCCCCTTGGAGGACGTGGCATTTGCGCTGAGTCCTGAATGATGAGAAGGCTCCTTACTGTAAGTGCTTAGAGTTCCAGAAGTGGAAATAAGTCTGGTGTGTGGGAAGGTAGGAGGTGAGGTTGAAGAGCAAGATGGGCTTGATTATATAGAATTTTGAGCTGTGGTGAGAATCTGAGTTTGTTCTCAGTGTGGTTAGTGTTTAAAATGCCTGGGGTTACTTCAATCCATTTATCCTCCGAAGTGTAGAATCATCTACAAAGACTCAGATTATACACTATTTATGACCTTATATTTGGTCCAGGTGAAATAATGAAGTAGGACATTTTAATCCCAATTTTTTTCCATTGGTACTAGCAAGTGAGGAAACTGAAGGGGAGGGCATATTTATATGCTCAGTAGGAAGTCAGCCAGTAACTGGAACAGCAATGGAATAGGGAGACAAAGAGAAAAGAAACATTATTGAATGTATCAAGCCCTGTACTTGACTTCACTGAATCCTCATGATAACCTGTGGTAGAAAGAATGACACCCCCTACCCCCTAGATGTCCACATGCTAATCCCAGGAACATGTGAATGTGTATTGTGTTACCTTATGTGGCAAAAGGGGCTTTATAGATTTAAGTCAAGGGCCTTTAGATGGGGCGATTATCATGGGTTGTCCTGGTGGACCCAATCTAATCACATGGTCCTCATAAGAGGGAGGCAAGAGTCAACATGAACAAAGTGAAGGCATGTGATGATGGAAGCTGAGGGAGGAAAGACATTGTGATACTGGGCAATGGGCCAAGGATGAGCACAGACTGCTTCTAACATGGGAAAGCAGAGAACAGATTCTCCCCTGGAACCTTCAGAAAGAACCAGGGTTTGGGTCTGGTCTTCAGCACTATTAGAGAAAAAATGTGTATTGTGTTAAACTACTAAGTTTGTGCTAATTTCTTAGAGCAGAAAGGAAACTAATACCCAGCCCCATAATGGAGTCACTAGACTCATTTTAACAGTAAGGAAGCTTAGAGGTTCGGAGAGGTTGTATAGTTAGACTGGAGCTGGGTTTTAAATTCAGGCTTATCTGTTTTGTGTGTTTGTTTTGTATTTTTAGATTCTACATATAAGTGAAACCATGTGTTATTTCTCATTTTCTGTCTGACTCATATAAACAGAGACCAAAGAGGTGATTACTAGAGGGGAAGGGGTAGAGAGATGGATAAAAAAGGTGAGGGCTTTATAGTCAGTAATACTGTTATAAGTTTGCTTGGTGACAGATGATTACTAGAAATAGTGGGATGATCACATTGTAAGATAAAATGTCGAATCACTGTATTGTACACCTGAAACTAATACAACCAGTAATATAAGATTGTATACCAACTATACTTACATAAAAAAGTAAAAAATTAAAAAAAATCCAGGTTTGTCTAACATCAAAGTCATGCTTTTTCTACTTCATCAGGTTGCTTTCAGGATGTGTGTGTGTGTGTATGCAGGGACCTTCTTGGGGCTACAAGGAATGAAAGCAGTGACTCAAGGATGCTGGGTAGAGGGACTTGGGGTCCATGGGCAGGAAATGGCTCTCAAAGTATTCATCTAGCTGAGGCAAGTCTTACAGGTACAGTATAACTCCTCCTTCAACACCTCCAGCAATGCTCTTTCCAGCTCTGTGGCTGGAGGAGCTAATTTTCAGCAGACAAGGAAGATTGGGAAGAGTGGAGGAAGAGTCTACGTTGCCCTGCTGAGGAAGAGATGCTTCTGGTGGATTAAACTCGAACTTTGAAAGTATTTCCCATGGTAACATTGCGGAGTGCTTATTAAATAATTTGTCTTAAGTACTCTGTGTTCAAATTTATTATGAGTTGAATAAATTTGTGGGTTGCCCTGAGAATCTAACTACATTTATAATAGTATTTCTATAGGAAAATACATTCTAAGTGCCCAAGAAGTAAATTGCAAAAGAGCTTTTGGAATACACATTTTTATAAGTTTGGGACAGACAGATTTGTGGTTATTACTCAGAATGTTTATTTAGAAGTATTAAGATGTTCTGGATGTAACTTCCAAAAAGGTCTCTGGGCCCTTATATTGCATTTGAATGTGCTTAGATTAAATGTTGATACTACTTAAGCTAAATGGATTGTGGTAGGGATTAGAGAACTTTTTATTATGCAGACATTTTGGTTATGTGGGGATTCTGTACCCTAGTTTCTCCCTGAGTAATTCAGCATAGCTCATTTCATTGTAGGGATTTTGCATTACCATAGTGGACTTTAAGTCTGATTGTTAGGCACTATCCTGTATTCTGCTTATAAAATCTGATTTAATAGTTTGCTGCACATCTCTTTACCAAATTATTTCCCTTGATTTGTTTTTAGCTAATATTCTTTAAGCTTTTTCTAATTTCTATACTTCTCACTTGGGGTTGGTAGTAGAAATGGGAGGTTGAAGAAAGAAAAAAGGTATAGTTTTAGAAATACTTTGTATGGTATAGGTTTCTTTACTTTGTAATTCTGATGAAAAGAAAAAAGACCATATGGTATCCTAGGCAGTTTTCCTAATATACCTATTTTCTATAGAATTTGCCTTAGGAAACATCCTACATATAAATATGTATGCATCTAGGTGAAGATGGTTATAGTAAAGTAAAATATTACTTAGAATTAGATTTTTAATTTTTCAGATGAGAAGTCCTATACATCAAAATTGCTCTTAAAAATTCTTTAATCTGCTCATAAAGCAGAATGTATAGTGTTGTGTGTTTTATAGAGTGCTCCTCGAGACCAGCTGAGCTAGAAATAGGAAAAAAACGAGAGGAAAGTCTGTGTGTAGATAGATGACTGATACTCAGATCATTCTGTCTGTTAAAAAATGATTAAAGAAGACGATTTAGGTGTACGGACAATTTGCACACTTCCTGAAGCAGACAGTCTTCATTTGGAGAACTGCGAAGTGGGGTGGAACCTTTTATAGAAGGAGGATAAAGAAGAAGGAGGAGGAAAGTAGAAAACACCTGATTGGGGAGGCACATAGTCACCCCTGCTTTGGACTGGAAGGAATAAGAATCTAAGGACAGTGCAGAGCTGGCTTGACATTTGGGGATTGGCTGACTGAGTGAATATAATGCATTCCTGGCCAAGCAGAGTGTTTACAGGGACACGAAAGCTGTCGCCTGAGTTTTGGTTCGCTCACGTGGCACCGGGGTAGGCACTCCTCCATCTTGAGTCTACAGACTGACTTCAACTTGCTTCTAATGACTTTCAAACCTGTCGGAGTAAATGGGGAGTAAAGGAGAATTGAATGTTCCTGCCAGCTTACAGGCTTTATTCTATTCTGTTTTTTATGTTAACCTTTTATAGCCTTAATAGATCTTAAAATGTTTGTCCCAAGGGTTAAATGAGATAATTGTTTCCTGGCAAGTAGTAGGTGTTGAACAAACATTTGCTAGATTTGAATCAAAATGTCACAGGTAGTATCACAGCTTACTGATCAATCAGATTCTTCCTGTGTTTTGGCATTTTGTGCAAAATAGATTTGTCAGTGCTAAAATAAGAGAGCAATTATTCTTTCTTGGTGTCCTTAGGAAGAATTCAGTGAAATCATTGATATTAAGGATCCAGATTTTACTCCTGCAGCTGCACGAAGGCAGAAACGCCTGGCTGCTGAGCTGGCCAAATTTGATCCTGATCATTATCTGTGAGTACTGAGTTTTTTGACGATTAAGTAATTTACTTGATATTTATTTATAAATTTTCAGTGTCTTTTTAACTATGCTAGACATGTGCTTTTTGGATTCTGGAAATTAGTGATGGCTTAGGGCCTAATTGACATTTGTATTAATTTACCACTCTAAAAACCTCTGTGATGTTTGTAGAACGTTGCTGCTTAGCAGTTCATTCCAGCAGAGAACTCTTTGTTTTTTCTCCAGCCTTAAAGATAGAACCCTGAATCTGAGCATGTTTGCACTTTAAGTAGGCTTTTTGTTGTGATTAACTGTCTTTATGAATTTGAATCTACATTTACTGCATTTCTTGGCTGATTCAGGGTTTTCCTAACAGTTTCATCTACAGCATCAGTAATCAAGTTTCAAATTAATAAATAATTAATTTTTGTAGTAGGATATAAGTAATCTAATTTTTGCTGTATTTATTACCCACCTGCATTAATTGTGTCTTTAGCCATAGTGCATCTCTGTCAGGCTTAAATTTGCCCAAGGGACTTATCTAATAAATAGGTAGGTAAATAATCACTTGAGGAGAGACTGGATGTGTCTCATTGGCTATGAAAGCAACACTTCTTCCAAGGAAACTAGTGTCACCTGGCCTCTATGGATGCTGGGCTGTCCTATTGTAAGTTGACTTAGCCCTCAATTATTATTCTTCCTAAGCTCTGCCCAACAACTTCTAAACTGATATATATTCAGCTATATTCCCATATAGTTTTTATATTTCTTTAATTCTTTAAGCTTATCAAGTGCCCTCATGTGATTATTTCAGTTTTCACAACAGCTGGGGAAAGGAGGTAAAGGGACTTGCCCAAGATCACACCACTACTAAGTAGCTTGGCCAGGACTTGAAAAAGAGTCTTTCCATTTATAGTTTTGTATTTTTTTCATTTATACTGTTTCAGTTTAAATAGTCCCAACTGCTTTTGCTCTTATGATTAACATTGTATCTCCTGTGACATAGTTGGAGACCAATTGGAATGGCAGAAATATATCTTGTGATGTGCAAATGCATTGAGTAATGTGTCGTGATAAATGGTTGATCGTTTCCACATCCTAAGGAAAACTGGTTAAGAGCAGAGTGTGTTATATTTTGGAGGACATCTGAGAGACTCAAACCCATTTACATTGCTGTTTCTAATTACCTTTTATCTCTCCAATTGTGGTCTTATAGGTCCACTGAAGAGTAATTTCAGGAAACCTGTTTAAATTTAGTCATGAACAAGCTTGAAGAGTGGGATCATCAGTTAAAGGCTCTTTGTGACTTTTCTGATAGCCATGAGACTTTAGCTATTGTGTTGCTCATTTTTTAAATTAACCTTATTGGCATGACTTTTGTTAGTAAGATTATATGTTTCAAATGAACAATTCCGTGACACCTGTACTGCGCTGTGTTTACGGCCGAGTCCCAGCCCTCTCTGTCACGTGTGTCTACCCCTCTCCTCTCCCTCCTCCCCCTTCCTCTGGCAGCCACTACTGTCCTATGTGCCTATTTTGTTTCTGTTCATTTGTTGCTTCCTGATTTATAACCCACGTGTGAGTGAAAGCATGTGGTTCTTTTCCTTTTTCGTTTGACCTGTATCACTTAGCGTAATGCTCTCAAGATCCATCTGTGTTGTCACAAAGAGGAATCTCATCCTTTCTTATGACTAAAATTTTTTTTTTAAAATATATCTATTGATTTCATAGAGAGGAAGGGAGACGGATAGAGAGACAGAAACATCAATGAGAGAGTCATTGATTGGCTGCCTCCTGCATGCCCCCAACTGGGGATGGAGCCCTCAATCCGGGCATGTGCCCTGACTGGGAATCGAACCCCGATGCCCTGGATCCTGGGTCGACGCTCAACCGCTGAGCCACGCCCGGCTGGGCATGACTAAAATTTCATTGTATACATGTCCCACATCTTCTTTATCCAGTCATACATCAGAGGACACCTAGGTGGTCTGCATGTCTTGGCCACTGTGAATAATGCTGCAACAAACATAGAGGTACATATATCTTTATGAATAAATGTTTTCAAATTTTTTGAATGAATACCCAGGAGAGGGCTTGCTGGGTCATATGGTAACCACTGTCTTCTTATTTTTTTGAGAAGCCTCCATACTGTTTTCCATAGTGACTGTACCAGCCTGCATTCCTATCAGCAGTGAATGAGGGTTTCTTTTTCTGCACATCCTCTCCGACACTTGTCACGCCTTGTCCTGTTGATAACAGCCATTCTAACAGATGTGCGGTGGTATCTCATGGTGGTGGTGGTAGTTTTTTTGATCCTTACCTGAGGCTTTTTTTAAAATTGATTTTAGAGGGGAAGGGAGGGGGAGGAGAGAGAGAGAGAGAGAAAAACATCGATGTGAGAGAGAAACATCAATTGGTTGCCTCCCTTATACACCCTGAACCGGGATCAAACCCAAAACCTGGGTATGTGTGTGCTCATGGGAATTGAACCCTTGACCTTTCAGTGTACAGCACGTTGCTCTAACCAGCTGAGCTCCACTGGCCAGGGCCCATTGTGGTTTTGATTTGCATTTCCCTAATAGCTAGTGAAGCTGAACATCTTCTGTCTGTTGGCCATTTATATGTCTTTGGAGAAGGGTTTGTTCAGTTCCTCTGCCCATTTTTTAACTGGGATGTTTGTTTTTGTTGTTGTTGAGTTTTATGCATTCTTTATATATTTTAGATATTAGCCCCTATTGGTGGTATTATTGCAAATATCCCATTCAATTAGTTGCCTTTTGTTTTGTTAATGGTTTCTTTTGCTGTGCATACGCTTTTTAGTTTGATTTGCTCTCACTTCCTTTGCCTTTGGGGTCAAATTCATAATATTCTTTCTATGACTAAGGTCCATCAGTTTACTACCTATGTTTCCTTCTATGTAATTTATTGTTTCAGATCTTATATTTAGGTCTCTGATTATTTTGAGTTATTTTTTTTATATGGGAACAGACAACAATCTGGTTTCATTCTTTTGCATGTGGCTTTCCAATTATGCCAGCACCATTTATTGAAGAGGCTTTTTTTTCTCTGTTGGGTGTTTTTGACTCTTTTGTCAAAAACTAATTGCCCAAATACATGTGGGTTTATTTCTGGGCTCTCAATTCCAGTTCATTGGTTTATGTGTCTGTCTGTTTGTTTTTTGCCAATACCATACTCTTTTGATTATTGTAACTTTGTAATATAATTGGAAGTCAGAGAATGTGATGCCTCCAGCTTTGGTCTTTTTTCTCAGGATTGCTTTTGCTATTTGAGGTCTTTCATGGTTCTATACACATTTGATGATTGTTTTTGTTCTATTTTTTTGAGAAATGCCATTGGGATTTTGATGGGGATTGCATTAAATCTGTATATTGCTTTGGCTAATATGGCCATTTTAACTGTTGATTTTTCCAATCCATGAACATGAAATATCTTTCCATTTCTTTATGTGTCATCTTCAGTTTCTTTCAATAATGTCTTGTAGTTTTCAATGTATTGGTCCTTCACATTCTTTGCTAAGTTTATCCCTAGGTATTTTATTCTTTTTGTTGCAATTGCAAATGGATTTTTCCCCCCTGAAATTTTATTGTTAGTATATAGAAATACAATGGATTTTTGTGCATTGATTTTGTATCCTGTTACTTTATTTGTTTATTGTTTGTAATAGTTCTTCTGTGGAGTCTTTAGGTTTTTCTATGTAAAGAATCGTGTCATCTGCAAAAAGTGACAGTCTTACTTCTCCATTCCCAATTTGGGTGCATTTTTTTTTTTTTTTTT